ACACAAAAACGATCCATCAAATGTTACAGTCATTGTGTATTGTCTACCAAGTATTGAGGTCTTTGCATTCACATCATGCTTAACATCTGACATGATGAAGTATAAATTACTTAGATAGGTTAAGTAAAACGCATACTATAAATGACTGGTATAATTCAATAAAATTGTTTGACTGAAATGTAATGCAAAGGAAATTACAACTAAATTGACCTTTTACTAGCCAAGTTACTAACTTATATTCTTTGTTACTTTCACTTAACTAAATTAAAGTACTAAAATTTACTTAATTCCATATTCCAAGTACATTTTAACTTAAGATTTCTAATTAAAGCTACTGATAAATATGTTTAGGTTTTTACTTGGCAAATCTTTGTAAATTTACTAGCATTTTCTGAGTGGAAAAAGTTGCCTAGCTTTTTTCCAAGTAAATCCTACTCCACATTTTTTTCAGTGCATGTACATAGTAAGTACTTATAGTGATTGTAATAACTGGGTACTTAGGCTACCCTTAACCCATGTAGTTGCCTCAGTACTTTCTTATAAGAACACGTAAGTGCACATACATACAATAAAAATGTAAAATAATAAAGTGCAACCTATATTCAATCTTGATGTGTGAAGATGCACCGGGTTTGACGTAGATTCTGGTTTTAACTGGTTGCATTGTGCAAAGTGTGAATAAGCAACCCGATCTCACGGGAATTCGTACGAATTTTACGAGGTAGCTAATTCGCTAAATCGTACATATTTTACGAATTAGCCAATTCGTTTGAATTCGTACGAATGACCTACCCCTGGCCCCGCCCCTAAACATAACCGTCACGTGGGTTTAGACAGAGTGAGGTCGTATGAATTAGTACGAATTAGCCACGAATTCGTACGAATTGGTCGTGAGATAGCGTAGGAATAAGCACAGGTATAAATGACAAAAACAGCAATTTTTATGGTAAAATACTGTAAAAATGCTACAATAAGTTCATTTACTCTGTACAGTGAAAAATTAATAGGTCTTCTTGGATATTACATGTAATTTTACAGTTTTTGGGAGCGAAAAAGAACAGGTCATTTATTCAGGCTTCTTCAGTTGATGGATTTTCATTGTTTTTCATCATCGGTTATGTACATTACGGTTTTATTCTCCATCTTATGTTATTAAATGAATGTATGACCAAATACTAAATAACTAAATCAATAGTTAGAAAATATATTATATTAAAGGTATATTATAGGTAAATATTAGGGTCATAGTAACATTATTGCAGTCAGTTAATTAAATAAATGTACAGAAAAATTTACAAGTATTTAAATAAATATAGGCTAAATATACATATGTAAAAAAATGTTGTTATTAATAGTTAATGAAATATACATTTGAGTGCAAATTTAAGTTCATAATTTAATTTATAATAATTAGAGCTGTCAAACAATTAATCGCGATTAATCGCATCCAAAATAAAAGTTTGTGTTTACATAATATATGTGGGTGCACTGTGTATAATTATTTTATATATATAAATGCACACACATGCTTGTATATATTTTCATGTATATACTGTATATATTTATATATAATTTATATTATAAATAAATATAAAAATTTTAAATATAAATACAATTTTTTTCTTAAATATACATGCATTTGTGTGTATTTATATATACAGTATATATACACAATAATTATACACAGTGCACCCACATATATTATGTAAACACAAACTTTTATTTTGGATGCGATTAATCGCGATTAATTGTTTGACAGCTCTAATTATTATAAATTAAATTATGAACTTAAATTTGCACTCAAATGTATATTTCATTAACTATTAATAACAACATTTTTTTACATATGTATATTTAGCCTATATTTATTTAAATACTTGTAAATTTTTCTGTACATTTATTTAATTAACTGACTGCAATAATGTTACTATGACCCTAATATTTACCTATAATATACCTTTAATATAATATATTTTCTAACTATTGATTTAGTTATTTAGTATTTGGTCATACATTCATTTAATAACATAAGATGGAGAATAAAACCGTAATGTACATAACCGATGATGAAAAACAATGAAAATCCATCAACTGAAGAAGCCTGAATAAATGACCTGTTCTTTTTCGCTCCCAAAAACTGTAAAATTACATGTAATATCCAAGAAGACCTATTAATTTTTCACTGTACAGAGTAAATGAACTTATTGTAGCATTTTTACAGTATTTTACCATAAAAATTGCTGTTTTTGTCATTTATACCTGTGCTTATTCCTACGCTATCTCACGACCAATTCGTACGAATTCGTGGCTAATTCGTACTAATTCATACGACCTCACTCTGTCTAAACCCACGTGACGGTTATGTTTAGGGGCGGGGCCAGGGGTAGGTCATTCGTACGAATTCAAACGAATTGGCTAATTCGTAAAATATGTACGATTTAGCGAATTAGCTACCTCGTAAAATTCGTACGAATTCCCGTGAGATCGGGTTGCTTATTCACACTTTGCACAATGCAACCAGTTAAAACCAGAATCTACGTCAAACCCGGTGCATCTTCACACATCAAGATTGAATATAGGTTGCACTTTATTATTTTACATTTTTATTGTATGTATGTGCACTTACGTGTTCTTATAAGAAAGTACTGAGGCAACTACATGGGTTAAGGGTAGCCTAAGTACCCAGTTATTACAATCACTATAAGTACTTACTATGTACATGCACTGAAAAAAATGTGGAGTAGGATTTACTTGGAAAAAAGCTAGGCAACTTTTTCCACTCAGAAAATGCTAGTAAATTTACAAAGATTTGCCAAGTAAAAACCTAAACATATTTATCAGTAGCTTTAATTAGAAATCTTAAGTTAAAATGTACTTGGAATATGGAATTAAGTAAATTTTAGTACTTTAATTTAGTTAAGTGAAAGTAACAAAGAATATAAGTTAGTAACTTGGCTAGTAAAAGGTCAATTTAGTTGTAATTTCCTTTGCATTACATTTCAGTCAAACAATTTTATTGAATTATACCAGTCATTTATAGTATGCGTTTTACTTAACCTATCTAAGTAATTTATACTTCATCATGTCAGATGTTAAGCATGATGTGAATGCAAAGACCTCAATACTTGGTAGACAATACACAATGACTGTAACATTTGATGGATCGTTTTTGTGTTTGAATGTGTCATTTTGAGCAGAAAATTTCCTCAAAATGTCACAAAATGGCAAGTTACTAATCCTGACAACAAAAGCAATGATAAAACAGTGTAAATACAGCTGGAAACCAGTGAAAAATGAGCCTCATTAATTATTCAAGGTCCAGTGCATGATGGGAACCCCAGTATCAGAACTTTATTTTATTGAGTTCATATTTATGCTTTCATTTCTACTCGCTTGAACGAAGTACTGATATGGAATTTACTTAGTTTTTTTTAAATTCTTGCCTGAACTCAATTTTTCTTGTAAATTACATTGGGTTTTTTTCAGTAATATTTACCTTACCAAAAAATCATTTTTTTCAGTGTGGAAGCAGGACTGCAAAATAAAGTGCAACCGACTATGTGCAAAATTTAATAAGGAACCTGCAATCTTTTAAAGGGTTAGTTCACCCAAAAATGAAAATTCTGTCAGTATTTACTCACCCTCATGTTGTTCCAACCCCGTAAGACCTTCGTTCATCTTCGCAACACAAATTAAGATATTTAAGATATTAAGATCGCTCCTGCATACAGTCCATAGGCTTCTTGAGGGAATGACTTGCTGTCCTCGAAAAGTCATTAAAGACATCGTTAAAATAGTCCAAGTGACTACAGGGGCTCAATCTTAAGTTTATCAAACGACGAGAACACTTTTGTGCGCAAAAAAACAACAAAAATAACGACTTTATTTCAACTATTCGTTTATTTCTCCATGAGCCTGTAAGTCAGTTAACGTAGTGTGATTGCGTAAAGCTACGTCACACGTAGGCTCACTATTGGCCGACGCTGGTCATGTGTGTGTGATGCGTGTGACGTACAATAACAGAAGCTTACGCTATTAAACTAGTAACCTGACTCGCGCAGACGGAGAAATAAACGAATAGTTGAAATAAAGTCGTTATTTTTGTTGTTTTTTTGCGCACAAAAGTGTTCTCGTCGTTTGATAAACTTAAGATTGAGCCCCTGTAGTCACTTGGACTATTTTAACGATGTCTTTAATGACTTTTCGAGGACAGCAAGTCATTCCCTCAAGAAGCCTATGGACTGTATGCAGGAGCGATCTTAATATCTTAAATATCTTAATTTGTGTTGCGAAGATGAACGAAGGTCTTACGGGGTTGGAACAACATGAGGGTGAGTAAATACTGACAGAATTTTCATTTTTGGGTGAACTAACCCTTTAATGACCAACTTTGATGTCTACTCACTAGGCAATACAATCCCAAACTTACAAAGTTCATCTGCAGTGAAAAGTTAAGGCCCGTATAACTGCATTAGTGAAGAAACACCATTAAATTCAGCGACCAGAATCTCAACTGCGTCGAAAATCCATGAGGCGGCCGGGTCTCGAGTCAGAAACCGTGTCCTTAGGGCCAAAGAGCAAACACATTAATAGAATCTGAATCCCATTAGGCCGGCGTTGGTGGGGTGTGTTGCTCCAACGCTATATATATTGCGGAGAAACTTTGATTAATGGCTTGTGTTTGTTCCTGTAGAGCTCACAGGCCTGAGGTCTGGAAAACCTGTGAGACTAAACCTCAACTGTTCATTATAACACAAAGCGCAATTAAAGTTGTGTGTGTGTGCGAGTTCCAAGAGGCATAAACCTTCGCCAATGGGAAAACAACAGAAACAATAGCATAAACGGGGCCAATTGACTAAACCTCTCGGGGGCCGGTGTGTTTGGATCTTTAAACTGGATGAAATGCTAATCAAGCTTTTATTTCGAAGCCGAACCGCACTTGGACAGGTTTTGTTTCTGGAGAGCAGTGAAATGATCTTGGACTTGTGTGTTTTTCACAGAGCGCTGGCGGACATATTGAGACAGCAGGGGTCCGTTCCGGTGTACGAGCATGAAAACGTCGTTGCTATAGACGCCTCGTCCAAAGAGAACACCCCAGTACGGACGTCCAAGAACCACTACACACCTGTGCACAACAAAATCAACCATGGTAGGTGCTTGTAGGTTACTCACCAACAAAACTGTACTATGGTATTACCATGCTGTTTTGGAGGTCACCATACGCCTTATTCACGGCAGCGCCATCTTTGATTTTTAATGAGAATGAAAGCGAGGCTGTGAGGGATAGACTTGCATCTCTTCAATGGGCTGTATTGTTATTTAATGTGTTTTCGGATTGTTCTGCTCATGAAAAACTGGAAAAATATCTTTCCAAGAAATGTCAGTTGACAAAAAACTCCCGACAATGTAAGCTGTGGAAAATTGTAAGTAATCTAGCCGCTTTATTCAGCTTTTTACAGCGGATGCCATTGGAAACACGGTAAGTCTATCCCTCACAGCCTCACTTTCATACCTGTCATGGCGCTGCTCTGAATAAGGTCTGTTAAAGTGGCGCTTTCTGCCGTGTAAATACCACGTGGTCCTGAAAGGATGAGTTCTTTTTTGGAATTCTTTTTGGAACATTCCAAAAATTTGAAATAAGTTGCAATGGTAATGTGGTACATTTTAAAGCTTAAAGGAGTAGTTCACTTTTCAAAAAACTTTTGCTGATAATTTACTCACCCCCGTGTCATCCAAGATGTCCATGTCTTTCTTTCTTCAGTCGAAAAGAAATTAAGGTTTTTGATGAAAACATTCCAGGATTTTCTCCATATAATGGACTTCAATGGGAACCAAACGGTTCAAGGTCCAAAAAACGGTTTCAGTGCAAACTGCAAACTGTTCAAAGGGCTTTAAACGACACCAGATAATGAATAAGGGTCTTATCAAGCGAAACGATCGCTCATTTAATAAATAAATTCAAATAAGCTCAAATGGTCGCCTTTCTCTGTTCTGTGATGCGCGTTCGTGATTCTCCTGTTCGAACTCGTTCATCAAAATGAACAAATCTTTTTCCGAGTCATTTGGTTCATTCAACGAATGAAACGAACGAATTGACTCAGAAAAAGATTCGACTTGACAAGACCCTTATTAATCGTCTGGAATCGTTTAAAGCCCTTTGAACAGTTTGTAGTTTGCACTGAAACTGTCTTTTGGACCTTGAACGATTTGCTATTTACATGGAGGAATTGGCAAGCAGAAAGACTGAACGCTTCTAAAGAGGCATCCAGTGTTGTAGTCGAGACCACCTCACTCGAGTCCGAGTCGAGACCGATACCAGAGAGAGTCGAGTCCGAGACCAGAGACGGTCGAGTCCGATTCGAGACCGAGACCAGTGAGGGTTGATTACCTAATTTATTTTTATTTACTTAGAGAAATCCTTTTTTTACAGAATTTACTTAGAGTTTAAAAAATATGATCAGTTTAGGGTAAAAAGGCCACATAGTAGGTGGTGTTAAATACCATGTGGTCCTGAAAGGATGAGTTCTATTTGATACTTTTTTGGAATTCTTTTTGGAACATTCCAAAAATTTGAAATAAGTTGCAATGGTAATGTGGTACATTTTAAAGCTTAAAGGAGTAGTTCACTTTTAAAAAAAACTTTTGCTGATAATTTACTCACCCCCATGTCATCCAAGATGTCCATGTCTTTCTTTCTTCAGTCGAAAAGAAATTAAGGTTTTTGATGAAAACATTCCAGGATTTTCTCCATATAATGGACTGGTCCAAACGACAGTTTCAGTGCAAACTGTAAACCGCTCAAAGGGCTTTAAACGATTCCAGACGATGAATAAGGGTCTTATCAAGCGAAACGATCGCTCATTTAATAAATAAATAACAAAGTTTAAGTTTTATAAGCTCAAATGCTCGCCTTGCTCTGTTCTGTGATGCGCGTTCGTGACTCTCCTGTTCGAACTCGTTCATCAAAATGAACGAATCTTTTCGAGTCATTTGGTTCATTCAACGAACGAAACGAATGAATTGACTCGTAAAAAGATTCGGATTTATAAGTCCCTTATTCATCGTCTGGAATCGTTTAAAGCCCTTTGAACAGTGTCTTTTGGACCTTGAACGATTCGCTATTTCAACACTATCTCACGACCAATTCGTACGAATTCGACGAATGATTAAAAAGTGTCTAATTCGTACTAATCCGTACGACCTCACTCATACGAATTTGAAAGAATTCATACCAGTTGGCCAATTCGTAAAATATGTACGATTTAGCAAAATTGTACTAATTCGTACGAGTGAGGTCGTATGAATTGTTACGATTTAGCCACTTTTTAATCATTCGTCGAATTCGTACGACTTGGTCGTGAGATCGGGTTGGCTATTTACATGGAGGAATCAGCAAGCGGAAAGACTGAACGCTTCTAAAGAGGCATGATTGCTTTATATAATGTACAGATTGAATTATTAGTAAAATAAAAGTATGTATTATACAAATTTTATAAATAATATAAAATATAAATATAATTAAAGCTGCAAGCAGCCTTTGCGGGGCCAAGCCCTGAAAGGGACCACAAGCAGAACAAGTACAACAAGCACATGTTCTTTCTCAGACAGACACCATGTGTAGAACTGAAACGACTTTTCCACCACTTAAGGCCACAGTACCTCTTGCGGTCTGGGCATGTGCCACACGGGATTCGAACCCACGACCGCAATGGTTCGGGATTCGTGACACGTGGTTTAGCAGCTTGCGCCACTCATAGGATATAAATTACAAAACTGCAGAGGAGAGGCTTCAGTATAAGAATAAACGCACAAAATTATGTTAACGTGATTAGCATGCTAAGCTAGCTCAATGCTAATATAGCTTATGGTCATCCTGTTAGCTGAAGAGCCCCATTAAAAAGAATGGCACCTGGTTAGCATGCTGAACAATTATTATGCTAAGCTAACTAGCATAAGGCAACAAACACAGGCTAGGTCAATTTTGGAGACGAATATCTCAAAAACGGTAACGAATATCAAAAATCTGTTCAGTCATTTCTGTGCGGCTGGGTCCAAAGATCATCTGACCAAATTTTGGAAAAATTTGAGCAAGATCTGAAGGAGGAGTAGCGAAAAAATGGTTTTTCATTTGCTCCAATATGGCGGACAGTCACTTTGTTGGAAAATGAAAAATGAGACATCGTTAGAATCGGTATAAGCCAAGGAACATATTGATATAAAGAAATTAAATTTTGAACTATATTTGCAAAAGTTATAAGCGTTTTTACAAAAAACCTTATAACTTTGTAACACTAGGTGGCGCTGTCATCAAACTTCTCATGTACCTTTGGGCCATACTAATGATGATCCATACCAAATTTGGTGAAGAAATTTTAAAAAGTTTTAAAGATATTGCAAATTATGACAAAATTCAAAATGGCGGACACGAGGTACATCCCATCATGGCAAAATTGATATCCACGGATTCGGCATGATCCAAGGAATCCATAGATACCACATTTATGATTTTCTGAAAAACTGTTCAAAAGTTATTGGCCAAAATAGCAATTTTGCATATCTCATGACCCCTAGGTGGCGCTATTCCCAACTTTGGTATGACACCTCAGAACATGCTTCTGATAAAGTGTATCGATTTCTGTTTCGATTGATCAAACTTTGGCCGAGATACAGCCTCTTAGCCAATTTTGGGTGGACCTCACTAAGTTTGCGACACCATAACTTTTGAAGAAAGACAACTAAAAAAAATCTGTTCAGTCATTTCTGTGCGGCTAAGTCTAAATATCATTTGACCAAATATTGGACAAAATTGAACAAATTTTGAAGGAGGAGTAGCAAAAAAACTGAATACTGTACTTTTCAAAATGGCGTCTACTGTAATGGGCGGAGTCTTAATGTATGACATTGGCTGTGATCAGCATGATGAGTGGAATCAGGTGTACTATGTTTCATGTCTCTAGACCAAAGGGGTCAAAAGTTACAACAATTTTAATGTTGAAATTTTGAACTGGTGGTGGCGCTATAGAGTTGGGGCTAGAGACTCAAAATTTGCCTCAATTACTTTTCATGATGATTTCTATAAGTGTGCCAAATTTCATCATTTTCCTACTTACGGTTCATAGGGCTGCCATAGACTTCCACCGGGAAGAATAATAATAATAATAATAATAATAATAATAAAACCAACAGATACAATAGGGGCTACCCCTTCGGGGCTTGGCCCCTAATTAAAACTTTGGCCTGGATGTTTCTGCAGCAGTATGAGACGTTTTCTAAATAAGATCAGGTCATATTGGCACATTTTAGACCAAATAATCCCATTTTTTTTTCATACTGTAAATAAATAATTTAAAATAAAAAAAAATAAACTCATTGAGTAAAAAATACTTAATATTTTATTTGTTTTTCTGCCTGTCAGTGGACCATTAACCGACATCTGAGAACCATGTAAATGTGTCGTTAAATTATTGAAATATGAATTTAAAATCTCAGTGTAAAAAAATATTTTATGTCAAAGGGCTAAAAAAAAGTTTGTGAGTCTTTTGCACTTGCAACATTAAGGTCATGTGTTCGATTCACAGGGAATGCATGATCTGATAAAACCGATAACTTCAATGCAATGTGTCCTCCAAACATAAATTTATATGTGTGTGCATGTGTGTGTGGGTGTTGTACATATGCTCAGGAGTTTGTTTGCAGGCGATGTGTTTGAGGAAACATCTGCTGTGACATCTCTCTCCCGCGGCATGTCTTCTGATTCATATTTAAAGCTCAACATCTCGCTGTTTGCCGCCACGCCGTACAAGCTAACATCAGAAATCAAATCTGAATGAATTCCTCATTCACACAGAGCGTAGCAGTCAAGCAGCCGTCGAGACACGCTCCTGACGCTCTTTTGCTGACTCCAGTTCAGTGTTAGCATTAATGAAGATGTACTGTCTCGTTTGTGTTTCAGCTAATCAGTGCTTTGGCTTGTTGTACATCAATATTCAAAGCGCTACTGACTAAACTAAATGCAGCTGTGTGTGAATGAGGTCAGCGGATGGGATTAGCTCTGGATGTTACTGTTCGTCTCACTCACTGCTTCGTTCAGGAGGATACAAACCTATAAAATGACATTTATAAAGTTTGTGCCGTAAAACTGTTTCATAT